CTTGCCTGTGCCAAATGCCTCCTCTCGCACCTTTCCGGGCGTGCAGCGCATAACAAACACGCGACCCCCAACAGTGCCTGCAGCCACAGCACCCGTGTCCGGCGCCGCTGCAACACTGGTGATCTGGTCCGGAACAGAGAGAACTGTCACCGGCTCACACCCACGCCGTGCGTCGTACAGCAGCACCTTCCCATCGTAGTTGGCCACTGCGAAGGTGTCGCCGGTGACCGCCACCGCCCCCACGATACGAGGCTTTGGAACCATCAGGTCCAACCGCACCGCGGCGTGTTCAACGTCAATCAGCTGCACGCTCCCTGGCGAGCTGCTGAGCAACAGCGACGGCTGCTGCGGCACCTCCCTCAGCGACAGCACCGGCGCCCCGTCCTGGAAGGTGTAGCAGCGCAACACTCCCCGCGACTGGCGTGAGACAACGGTGATGCCTCCCATCGCCGACCCGGTGGCGAGACACGTGCCTGAGGAGAGAAAGCAGGCGGAAACGATGGGGTCACCACCAACAATATGATGCGGGAAACTTTCTACACGCGCTGCGTACCGTTCGGACGAGTCATCTGCGCCGTCCATGCTGAAGATGTGTGTTCCGTTCATGATGGTGCTCACAAGGCAAGCGCTGCTTGCGTCGCTGTACGCCATGGAGGAGACGCAGCCTTGAACCTCAAATCGGCAGATGGTTCTATCCAGCTGCACCATCGCGCTATGTAACTACCTTTTCTCTATCAAAGAAGAAAGACACGACGAAGCACAGAACATGAAGCAGATGGAGGGCATGAGGCAAACATTCAGGCACACCAAACAGCCCAACACCAGGCACAACTTCAAACGCCGCACACACACGGACATAGACACGCACACAACACAGACCCGCTCCCATTCTCACCGCTTCTTGAGAATTTTAAACGGGCACAACACAAGGCCAACCACTCCACCAACAGCAACTGCAGCCGGAACATGAATTGGCGCATATGCGCAGAAGCACTTTGTGGTAAGTCGAACATACTCCCGCCTGCGCTCCTTCCATGTACGCTCGTTGAATACTGCCCACATGCCTGGGTAGAACAGGTGTGAGGCGAAGAGACACGACAGCCCCGGCACTTGTGCCGTAATGGGCCCAAGGTACGGTGTGAAGCCCTTCTTCGCCTTCTCATTTGTGATGCGCGGCTCGACGAGAAAGTAATACGCACACCAACTGGCGATGAAGTTCACGTAGAAGAAATCACTCATCATGCGTGGGATAAGAGTCTTCTTCGTATCCTGCGTCTGCGACAACTTCAGCAGCGGTGAGGATGGGATGGAGACACAAAAGGGAATCGCGAAAAGAGTGGCACAGACCGTAGTACGTATGATTAGCTTGAATGTTGAGTGTGCCGCTGCCACATCATTCTGCTGCTGATGCACTGACAACAACCCCTTCGACGGAAGTTCAATGTACGGCATGCCGCTGTTCACCACAACCGGAACTCTTTCTCCCCTTCGTTGCCGATGAGGCAAACCAAAACACAACAAAAAAAAATGACCGTTTGGAGAGGAAAGTACGGCTCCGTCATCTGCAGTTTCTTCTTGTATCAAACAATACCGCAATATTTCAATGCGAATAATTGGTACAAGACGAGCAGAGAGAACATCGTAGAAATAGCACAACGCTGAAGTTAGAAGAGCAAGGGGGAGTGCAGAGATGTGGGTCAATCAAACCCTTCTTTCCGCAGAACATTGCACCAATGAGCTGCTTGAGCAACACGGCATTGAATCTCATCCGCGTCGAGAAGCTCAGGCGAGACGTCAATGAGCCTGCTAGTCTCTTCCGTCCTCAGCTCCAGTTGGTGCAGGCGGTAGTGAAAGGAGGTATCCGCCAATTCCCCAAAGAACAGCGCAATGTACCCATTCATCAGAACCACACGACAGTCACGTAAAACCTGCTGTGTTTCAAGAAGAACATTCAGTCTCTTGTCAAGCGTCAGTGACTCTGTCCTACGCTGCGCGAGCCTTCGCAGATCCTTTGAACCTTCCTCAAGCGACCTGGCCTCCAACATGATGCTTCTCTTGTGATTGTCCCACCGCTCATAGCAGTCGAGGAATAGTTGCTTTCCACTCTTCACTTCATCATTACTCACCTGCTTATCGCACTTGTAGTACTGAGTATTGTGCTCTGACCACGGGCCCAGACAGATCCAGCAGTATTCGTACTGGCAGCGGACGCAAGTCATGTGGTTACAACCTTTATTTTTCTCAACGCGGACGGAGCACTTTGGGCAACCCTTCGTCGTTTGTTGAATAAGTGCCAGCGAGGGTTCGTTTTCCCGCACCATATCCATCCAACGCCTCAGCATCTGACATGTCGCCGGGGCGTGTGGAGACTGCAGACACTTGAAGCAGAACTCCAGACCGCACATGCAGCAACGCACGTCTGGTCCAGACTCCCGTAGAGCGTTGACGCGTATCACCCCCTCACAGGACACCTCGTTGGGGCAGCAGCGCATGTGTGTGTTGTTGCTAAGATACTCACCGAGGAAGCGGCGCTGCACCTGCCCGTACTCCTTCGGCTGTAGAAGTTCTTTAAAGACATTTAACCCCACTATGCAGGAGCACCCTTTCATCGGACACCGCTTGTTGAAAAGGTCGTGGTAATGCTTGATGGCACAGAGCAGATTTGTCGTAAAGCAGTCAACACAAAAAAAGTGCCCACATCTTGCGAGGGCCACCGCTTTTCCAACCGGCACATCGTCACAGCAAATAGGGCACTCCAGAACCGTATCGCTCTGGACCAGTGCGACGCCATCTGTACCACTACCAGCAACCTCGATGATCCTCAAATCCTTGTTAATGTTCTCCATATCATTCAAATAGTTCTCAAGGGTGGCGTCGTCCATTTTCCAACCATAGCGACGCAGAACGAGCAGCGCTGCCTCGGGAGTGAGGCCGAGAATCTCGTTGGCTTTCTCTACGTCGCGTCGCAGCTCCTCCATGACCTCGCTCACGGTCAAAGTGGTGCAGATGTTCTCCGTTGCGGCGGTTGTGTGGGGTTGCCCCCCGAGCTCGCCGGACACCGGGGCCCACTGCGCGTCTTCGTACGCCGAAGAGTACTCCTCATCGTCGTAGTACTCATCCTCGACGTACGACATTCAGACAACCAGTGAAGCCAATAGCAGTAATAATAATAACAATAATACGGATAATAATGCGTAGCTCTTCTTTTCTTTGCTTTTTGACGCTTTGTGTGCCCGACATGCACATCCACAGAGAGAGAGAGAGAGAGAGAGAGAGAGAGAGGAAAAAAACTGAAGATTCTGCTCAACAGGTACAGGATGAGAAAGCAAAAAGAGACGGACGAAGCGAGGGAGTACATACCCCAGCAAACACCATGCGATGACATTGGTGTGGTGCAGGCGTCGTACAGTCTTCTTTCCTTCTTCGCTTGTTTCTTCCTTTTTGGTTCATTTATCAAAGGGGATGTGCTTCCTTTCATACACCCTCGTCTTACCCGTGAGCAACTCCATACCTGCGCTGCACCCTTCAGCGGACTGAGCGGTTCCCGCCCATCGACCAACGCTTGTACCACTCCACATCACGAGAGCTGATGCGCGGTTTCACCTTCTGCAGCGCAGCGTCTAAGTCCTCGCGTGTGATGTGCTCCGCCCTCGCGTTGGCCGTCACGCGCAAGAAAGCCGCCTCCTTCACTACTGCCACCACTTCGGCGCCGCTGTAGCCGTCCGTTCTACACGCCACGTAGTCAGCGTCGATATCAGGCGCGACAGGGATGTGGGCGAAGTGGATGCGCACAATGGCCCGCCGCTCGGCGAGGTCCGGTAGACCGACGTACACCATGCGATCGATGCGCCCCGGCCGCAGCACCGCCGTGTCGATGTTGTCGGGGCGGTTCGTCGCTGCAACGAACACCAGCGCCTCAGAGGATTCCTCGAGCGCGGCGGGCAGGCCGTCGAGTTCGGTGAGAAACTGTGAGATGACACGGTCCGACACGCCGCCTCGACCGCGGTGCCCGCACATGCCGTCAAGCTCATCGATAAACACAACACACGGTGCTACAGCGCGGGCGCGCGTGAAGACATCGCGCACTGCCTTCTCGCTGTCACCAACCCACTTGGAGAATACCTCCGGCCCCTTGACAGAGATGAAGTTCATCTTGGACTCGTTTGCCAGCGCCTTGGCCAGCATCGTCTTGCTGCAGCCCGGTGGGCCGTAGAGGAGCACGCCCTTTGGTGGCGACAGTTTAAACGCGCGGAACACCCACTGCTGCTTGCCAAGGCACCACGCCACGCAGTCCTGCAGCGTCTTTTTCGCCGCCTCGCTGCCGCCAATGTCGTTCCATGTCACGTGCGGCACTGACACCTCAAACTGCTTCAGCGCAGATGGGCGCACCACCTTCGCCGCCTCCAGCAGGGATGCGTCAGTCACACCGGTCCCCGCCGTCGTGCGGAAGTTCTCCACCATCGCCACTTCCACCAGGCGTGCGAGATCGCGCTGCGTAAAACCGTGTGCCTCATGTGCGACACTTGAAAGTGTCTCCACCGACACACCACCCAATGCTCCACGTTCTTCAAGACACACACTCAGACACTCCAGCCGCTCCTCCGCCGATCCTGGCGTGAGCAGCTCCACACGTTTACCAAAGCGTTCCGGTGTGAGGAGCGAACGCACCACCGACTCCGCAGATGGAGCACTGGCGACGACGCGGACGTTGAGTTTCCGCCTTCTAATGTCGTCAAGCTCATCGCACAACGCCGACGCCACAAGTGTCGTTGCCCACAGTGACCCCGTTTCGGTGCTAGTGTTGGCCCCGCAAATGAGGTGAAGGTCATCAATCAGCACCGTCGACGGCGCGGCGATTTTGGCACGCACAAATGCTTCGTGCAACACCGTCGAAGAGGACACATCACTCCTCTCACCCTGAGAAAGCTCTTCCACTTTAATTACCTCCACGTGGCGCCAGTAAAGTGTTGCGGCGTCACGCCCCTCACGCTGGAGGAAACGGCTCTTGCCAGTGCCGGCCTCTCCCACCACCAAAACGTTTTCCAGGGCACCCGGACCCTCCTCCACGCCAGGTGCGTCTTCTGAAACGTCACTTTCCTTGTGAATTTCACGCCCACCGTCTCGTATTACCGTCTCGTCCATGAGAATGCCCAACGTAACGTGTTCTTGTTCCTGAACTTGCTCTTCTTCTCCATCGATCTTCGGTGACCCTGAACGTACGCACTGCATGACTTCCACGTAGAACGCATTCGTCGCTATGCGCACCATTGCCCGCATTCCTTGAAACACCAACCGCCGCTGGTACTGACGCCGGAAGACAGAACGGATCTGGAGAAAGGGTGGCTGAACCGTCTCCGACACCTGCGCTGTGCGTATGCTTCCCGGGGCATTACTCGTGATCTCCACAGTCACCAGCGAAAGCGACACTGCCGTGGAGGGACCTGACATCAGAGTCACATTCACCTGCTTGTCGTTGAAAATGGTGGTCACTTCATCAGCGAGAATGATGACCTGCGAGTGACACGAGGAGGAAAGAAAAGCCTCAGCATACGCCTCCGTGTTGCCAGCCTTAATGCGCACAACTGCGCCACTCACAATGCCCAGCGCCTTGAAGGACGAAGGAGAGAGCCGCGCCTCGTTCGACGGCAATGAATTATCTGAGCGGAGCTGCAACAACAGTTCTGCAGAGGATTTTCCTTGTTCCACACAGACCGGATTAGAGGAAGCCTGCAAGGAAGAAGAATTGTTCACGCTCGAGTACCCTTCGCGCCCACGCCTCTGTGGCGCTGCCACGCTGCTATCACTCGTTGGCACCTGCACAAATCCCGTCCCATCTGCTTTTGGCCGGATGGGTGGTTTGAACTTCGCCTTCTTCGGGCCCATCCTATGCTTCCCGTAAACCAAATAAATAAAAAAAAATGATATTTCCGTCACCACATACCAGCACAAGACGAGAGATTACTCTCACCAACATTACCAGGAATAGCTCACATATTAATCTGTCTCTCTCTCTCTATATATAAATATACCAACGAATTTCATACTCCTTCTCCTTAGTACTCCGACACTCATATCAGTTTTCCTCGTTAACGCCCTTTCCGCGCAAAACATGACGATTCATGGAATAAAACAACTCGTCCCCGCCATCGGACTCCTCAGCCGCGCAAACAACGGACAATAAAAAAATGAAGAGTCCGACTAAGCGAAAGCGCACACAAGCACTTGTTCTTATTCCATCATATTGATCCATGCTTGCACTTCAGCAGCCACAAATAGAAAATATCCATAATAATAATAATAATAATAATAAACCCCCAAACAGGAGAGCTGTGACAACCAACAAAAAAAAACTAAAGGAAGACAAAGAGCAGCAGCGGCAGGCAGAGAACTAGTCAAAAAACAAAACGTCTTATTTGAAAAAAAAAGCCTTATTACGACACCCTACTACACCTTCTCCTCTGAGCCCTGCTGCTGCTGCTGCTGTTGCTGCTCACCCTGGTTGCCGCTGCTGCTGGAGCTGCCGCTGTTGGCCGCTGCAGCCTGCTGGTACTCTGT